CAGTTTTAAAATATGCACAGTTGCATCCTGGAGAACCTAAGATGGCGCCTTATATTAACACATTTTAGAAGCTTTTTGAATGGTGCATTTAAAGCAACTGGTAACTGCAAATCTACTTTGCCTCTTTAAGTAAATATTATAGACAGTTCTATTCTGGAAGACCTTATGAAATTCTGCACTGAAAAGAAATATATATATATAGACACAACATGCATATATTTTCCTTGATTCAATTTTGCCAAGGTATTACTATGCCTTAGGTCTCAATTATTTTGTCCTCTCCAAGGCAGGGAAGGCTGATTTTCTATTCATTTTCATCCAGTTTTGAGGCTCGTGAGGATAAATATACTAACCGTATTATATAGAATCCTGTATGAGTACTCAAACATTTATTTGATGGCCAAATGTTAATGTTTTTTTTATGTCTCATTTAAATTCAGATCCATTTAGCAAGCAAAAATATCTCCTAGATCTCATTGAACGTATTTCCAAAGTAGACTACTAGTTTTTTTTTAAATTGCAATTAGCATGCATAGTGCAGAATTTCATAAGGATAAAGTGTGCCATCAGTGTGGTAACTTAAAGATATTTAAAACAATGCACAATTTGCTGCTTACAACACTGCAGCTTCTAAACCCGGTTTATTTTACTGATTAAAAAATAAATAAAAAGTTGTGCCTGAAGTGAATACATTTTTTTTGCAGCCAACACCCAGTGTACTGTAAAAGAATACTTAGGCTTTCCATAGCTGTATTGAGACTTTCATCAAGGTGAAATAGTTGATGTCTGTGTGCTTTTTTTTTTCTCCCCTCCTTCCAGGCCCGTCCCCTTACCTTCCTTCCCTCAGCCACACTTTATCAAGCAAGCAAACTGAATGATTGGTCTAAGTATTACTTTAACCAAAAAGATCAGGAGTTATTTACTTTGAATAGAGGGCAGTACTGTGTTTTTTCCATGTTACCTCTATTCTCAATTTAGGGTTTTTCTTCTCTGGGAGATGCATTATCTTTGTAAAACAAACATTGCTTTCTCCAATTTTTCTGTTAATGGCAAAGAATGGAAATAGAATAAAGTTTTACTGATTTTGAAAATTTGCCTCTGTCTTGTAATTTCTTCATAAATGTCTCCCACCTACTTTCCTCCTTGGCCAATTTGTATGTTTTCAGAAGACGTTCCAGATCCTGAATAAAAAATGAGACTTTTCCCCCATTTTTATGACCAGGCAATGTAACTCTAACGAACCTCTTTTTAAAACTTATAATATTTTCTTAGTCTTCTTTTTTTCCATTTTGTACACATGAAGATTAACATCTAAAATCCCAACCACATTTGCACATGCACTAGCATCCGATTAACTGACTTGGTATCAATTTACAATTCACACTAAACCAAATATACATTATTTGAACTTGCACTAATTGTGATCTATCTATAATCCAAATTTCTGGCTTAGTATTGTTAGTATTAAATATTGAATACTGAATTTTGCTACAATAATTGAGTTTGTAGATGTTGATTCTGAATCAAAATAATTCTGGATCAGGCCTGAAGCTAATTTAATAGGATTATGCTTTTGATTCAGTACCAGAAAGATACTTTCAAAGTGTGCAGGAACAGGAATTTAGTTATTTTATACATCAAATTTAGAAACTGCCCATCTTGCAGTGTGATCCTGGGGTAGCGTACAATTAAAAAATGTAAATATATCCCATATATTTACACATGCGTTTCTCTGAGAAACCCAGGTGAGTTGGCAGAGTCAGGTCTTCAGATACTTCCAAAAGGCCAGGAGAGTAGAGGCCCACCTCACATCTTAGAGAAAATTCCAAAGGGTGGGGGCAGAAGCAGAGTAGGGTCTCTTCCTGGACCCTACCAGTTGAAATTCTTTGAACTGAAAGGGTCTGCCTAACCATGTGAGGCAGGCCAAAGAAAGTACACCTTTGAGTTCTATGGTTTTATGTATCAGGACATAGTGCTTTGCAGTTCTTAAAAGTAGGTAAATGTAACCTCAGATGAACAACAACACGACATATTACACCATGTCATTTATTTTACATCATAAAATCCATCAAGCATTTGGTGAAAATCATGCAGATTTTCGGTCAACAATACAGTTAGTACTGGATTTACAACCACAATTGAGCCCAAAATTTCTGTTGCTAAACAAGACAGTTGTTAAATGAATTTTGCCCCATTTTACGATCTTTCTCGCCACAGTTGCTAAGTGAATCACTGCAGTTGTTAGTAACACAGATACTAAGTGAGCCTGGCTTTCCCATTGACTTTGCTTGTGAGAAGGTTGCAAAAGGTCACATGACCCCAGGATATTGTAACCATCATAAATACATGCCAGTTGCCAAACGTCTGAATTTTGATCATGTGATCATGGAGATGCTGCAACAGTTTAAGTGTGAAAACCAGTCATAACTCACATTTTGAAGTGCTGTTGAAACTTTGAATGGTCACTAAACGAATTGTTGTAAGTCAAGGACTATCTCCAGCACCATCTACATGTGAAAGTACATGCACATTTACATTCCCAGTCAACATATCTCTAATCTCAGTACAAGCATTTGTTACCTATTTACTGTTACATGTATTACAGGTAGTCCTTAATTAACAGTAATTGGAACCTGATAGTCTGCATTAAGTAATGCAGTCATAAAATATGTCATGCAACCACACTGATTCCAGCCATTTTGATTGTTCCAGTTGTTGACATTGAGGGAATCCCACATGGTTGTTAGTTGCAATATCACACAATCACCATTTGGGACCTCTTGCCAGCTTCGCTGTTGATCTTGCTTGTTGGAAATGGGCAATGAAGGTTGCAAATAGTTATCACATACCTGGAATGCTGCAATGTAATTACAAACAGGTTGCCAAGCACCTGAATCATGATCATGCAACTGCAAGGATCCTGCCATGGTGGCAAGCGTGAGGACCAATCATAAGTCTCATTCAGCACTGCTGTAACTGATTGCTAAACAAGTGGTCATTGAACAAAAAGACTACCTGTACACAACCAAACAACATACATCTTTCTCTTCCTCCCTATTCACTGTTGAATTGCACAAAATGTTCCGAAATTCAAGCCTAGTTAGTGTTATACACTTTCTCAGTCATACATTTCTCCATGACCTAAAGGGGAAAAAAGCCCCTAAACTGCCTACCATTTGAAATAAAGCAACATTCGTCTTCCCAAATATTGATCACTGTCCTCTTGTTCCCTTTCAGTGTAACATATATAACAAACAAATCCAGCTATAATTTTTCTACATACCCTTGCTAATTGTGATGGACTGTAGTAGTCTGAATACTACAAGATTACAAGAGAAAGAGGGTCCAGGAATAAGGTAGTCTGAATACTACAAGATTACAAGAGAGAGGGGGGTCCAGAGCAGTCCAGGAATAAGAGACAGCTCAGTCCAGATATTTGGTAAGAGGATGAAGACAACCCCCTCCCTAATAGTTCTCAGATAATGCCTGATGTAAATAATGGAGTTTCTTCAGTTTGGCAAGACTATGTCTATAGGTGTGGAACAATAAAAAAATTCTGCTTGGAACAACTGCATGTCTTTCTTGGTTTTGGGGCCTGATATAATTTTTCTTTTAGTAAAAAGAAACACTTTTCAAATCACTGGGCATAGGATAAAGTTTTTATGCATACATAAAATAAACTACACAACTATTCCATTATCTTCAATTACAGCATCACAATTTTCAACATTCTCCCAATATTTATGAGGTACAAGGAGAAATTAGTATTGAAAGCATTGATTTCAATTCCTTCTTTGACATATTAATATCATTCTCATTGATTAGATTTATTTATGTGCCATCAAGTTGATGTTGATTCTTAGTAACCATAAAAATATTCTCCAAATCTCAGATTTCATGTTTCAATCTTCCATTTGCCATAATCTTCACCAGATAGGTTTCCACTAACCTTCATTGCATGGCACAATGCATAGCCTAGACTACTGGCTTTAGTTGTATTGCTACTACATGGAATATACCCTGCTAAAGAGAAGGAAATATTACCAGTCATTTTTGCCACCTTTCGGCCAATATACTACAAGCACAAGCAATGCCTAGTTTTATCTCAATCATCCTTACGCTGTTCTTTACAAGCTAAGAACTGTAATACTACCCGGCAAACCAACGTGCTACCGGTATATTACCAAGATCCCATGAGCTCTGATATACGTGCGGTGCATTTACACACTCAGAACATCCTCCTCGGACTTTATTGAATTCACAGTATTGGGTTTCATGGGCAACGGACTGACCCACAATAAAACGACTCCGTAATCTTTGTATTGTACCTCCAAATCTGATGTTCCTTGCTAGTTGGAAATTCTAGCCAGGCATGCAGAGCAGCCTGGAGTACTCTACCATAAGCTGAAGAAAGACAGCAGGGGGACCTGTAATTGGAGACCAGAAAAACTTTTTTTCCAAGGCTGCTCTCAGGAATATACCCCTAACCTCTCCAATTTGGACAGCGAGTCATAAGCCTTCGTATAGTGCAGTGTTTCTCAACCTTGACAATTTTAAGGCATGTGGACTACAACTCCCAGAATTCCACAGCCAGCATTGCTGGCTGTGGAATTCTGGGAGTTGAAGTCCACATGCCTTAAAATTGTCAAGGTTGATAAACACTGGTATAGTGCCTAGAGCAGGGGTAGGCAACCTTGGCTCTTTTATGACTCGTGGACTTCAACTCCCAGAATTCCTGAGCCAGCATGGCTCAGCTTGGAAACCTCTCCCTTTCCCCTCAGCATGGCTGGCTCAGGAATTCTGGGAGTTGAAGTCCACAAGTCATAAAAGAGCCAAGGTTGCCTACCCCTGGCCTAGAGAATGGGTTCGGGTGCTGCCTTTAGGAAACCCTACCCAGACTCCAGCTCTCTCCGGCAACAGCTCCCTCCCGAGACGTTCGGCACCGGTTGATGACGCCAGCGCTGTGCTACGTCGGAAGGGCGTTCCGGCGACCGCGAAGCCTGGAAGTGAAGTAAGAGGAGGTTCATACTTAACTTGCTAGCCGTTGGGTAGGGAGGGTGGGTGGGGGGGTCTCCTTGAAGTCCTTTCTCTCCAAGTCTGGGGTGGGAGGAGGCGTGGAAACGGCGTACCCCGGTCAGGAGAGACAGCGGTCTCTCGTCGATCCCCACCCGCTGTTGAGAGGCGCTGCCTTGGAAGGTATTTGCTACCAGAGTTGGGTGTGTCCGTCGCTCCCGCTCGAATCCCATCTCCCTGTCCTCGATGTGTGCCCGGTGTGTTTGATGCCCCTTTAGGAGAGCCCTTCCTGCCTCCCGAGGGCAGGGCATTCAATTCAGCTGCGTGGGGAGGGAGGGAGGCGGAATGGGGTGGTCCTGCGAGGCTTGTTATTCTCTGACTAGGATCTTGAGGGCTTAGTGCAGCCTTACCAGCTGCCAGGAGCTGGTCGGTAAGGCTGGCTTGTGCTCTGTTTAGTCGCACACGCCATCAGGTTTTATTTAACTAGGGTTTATAGAGTAAACCATAGCTGGCACGATTCTCAATGAGCTGTGGTTTACAAGCCATTGTGGCTAGGTTCCTAGACAGCCCTAAGGTTAAAATATGGTTTGCTTGTTTCAAGTTCCTTCTCTTATTAAGGAAACGGGATTTCCTGTCATGGTAACAATCCTACAAAATATGTGGGATTACTAATTTACACAAGACCACTGAATAATTTTCTGTCTTCACAGAATATGAATTTGAATCATTTTACCATCCGTGCAATCTTGATATATGTAAACTGCCTAGAGTCACTGGTGACATGGTGGTGTAGAAGTTATAATATCATGTTCAATTACAATGTACACTTCTCATTTACATACTTATTTAGCAGAAAGGCTAATAATGTATGTGGTATCCCTTACAGTTAAGAATTGGGTTCAGATCAATTGTTCATGCGTTATCTTTCTGTATTTAGCTTACACCAAATGTCAAAAGTATTATTTTTTTCTTGGGTGCTTATTAAAACTTTGCAAATGTAGTCTTGAAAAGCAAATTTGTTTTGGTTGGGAGTTTTATATAGAGTGACTTGGCACAGTTATGCCAGTCTGAGTAGCTGGAGTGGAAAGGGATAATTTATTTTGCTGGGACTTAGGATCTGAATTTAAGGCATTATATTAGTGTTAGGTCAGAGAGAGAAAAAATCTTCATAAATGGCAGTACCTAATTAGGGATGATGGGATTGACTGGATGGATTAGATAGATTGATGACTCTTTGATGAAGAGAGGAAGTCCCAAAATTTTGAATAAGATTGTGGTGTATACATGCTTAAATAAAAAAGAAGCTGTCCCAGAACTTTAGGACAAGTGCTGCCCCCACTTGGAGAACTCTGGAACAACTTGAGAAAATAGGATTATCTATTAAATTTATCTATTTATCCAATTCCTATCAGGATAACCATTTCAGCAATAAATCCAGGACTGTGATCTATTTCATTTACTGATGAAATTGTTATCCTGATAGAAATTTAATTGCCAGGAGAGCGATAGGAAGCATGTATTCTAAAATCAAAAGGAACTTTTGATACTGACCATCACTCAGGTTTGGAAATTTAGGACACAGGTTTTTTTTACCCTGCTTTCAGGATCTGCCCAGTAAGTGACAAGATACATCTGAACTCTTCATGAAACTTGTGCCATATAGTCCTAAGGAATATTGATCTATATTCTATACTTTTTAATATCCACATTTGGAATGGAGAATCTCTTAATAATATGATCCTTATTTTTCTTTGTTTTTCTTTTTTGGTTGAAGCTTTTTGCTTCCATTCTCATGCATAATTCTATAAAATAAAAATGTTGCATCATTAAAAATAAATCATTTTGCATTGAATCTTGATGGGATAATTTTCCGGTGCTACAATACAGTTTGTAGACTGCATATTTTCCATATCTGTCCTAAAAGAATGGAAGACCTGGATATGTAAATTAATCCCTTTTTTACTCCAGTTTATCAAAGAAATGTGTCAGTGCCAACTGAGGCAGAGACAGAGAGAGAGAGAGACTAACACAAACTGCAGAGAAAAGAGATTAAGAAAATAAGAGAATAAAAAGAAAAAAAGTAGTGTAGGAAAAGATGAGATGAAGAGGGGTTTTTTTGTATTTTAAGAGAAGGTGATGAATTGCTAAAATTGTTTATATATTCATTACAGATCCTTGTAATGAAGCTGGTCATTGTTACTTATGATTGGATAAGTGAATTGTGTTTTATTTTGTTAACTATATTGTTCCTAATTACTTTTTTAAAAAAAATGTAGTATTGAAGTATATTTTTTATCAAATTTATATGCCACTCATCTCATGGTGCAGTATATATAATTGTTATATGCCCCTAGGATACTTTAATGGAGGGTAATTTGTATCTAGAGTAATATATATTTGTGTTACTAACAGGGCCCTAAGGAAGGCAATGACTGAGTACAAATTGGTGGTAGTAGGAGCTGGGGGTGTTGGAAAAAGTGCCCTGACCATCCAGCTTATCCAGAATCACTTTGTAGATGAATATGATCCTACTATTGAGGTAAGGTTTTGAGAATATTAAGGTTTTGAGAATATTAATATCTTAGCATACTAAGTTGTTTTCTTTACTGCTACAGTGCTCCAGGTGAAGCATGTTTTTCTAGATATACACAGTTACCAGTATCCACCCAGCTTTTTTATTTGTTTGTTTCAGTGCTAGGTTTATGTATATGTATATACTATTATGTAATTCAAACAAAAAACCATTTTCTCCTTCCTATCATGGTATGATCCAGAAAAGGCTTTACTTTTCATTCTGTTTATGGAAGCTGTATTTATGCTTAAACATGTTTTATCACTCTTTGCTATCAGTTGCTGGTCTCTGATATTTATTTTCACTGCCTTGAAAAATTAATTGGAAAAGACTTGCTAGGAAGCATGCGGCAGAAGATGTTGTAGGATAAAAGTAAGGATGAACAATCAAACAAGAGAGCCATATTAAGCTTTAATGTTATAAGCCATGTCACAAAAGAAGCTGGGTGATGTATAAAAAATTTAAACAGGAAGAAAATTAAATATGAATGTGAGGTTTAATTAGATTACTGAATTTTTAAAATTTAAGATATTATGACTCTCTACTCTTTCTCATCTTATCTCAGTTATAATTTCAAAAATAGTTTTGCTCATTAACATTGAATGATTGGATACTTACTTACTTTCCATAGGATTCTTACCGTAAACAAGTTGTTATTGATGGAGAGACTTGTTTGCTAGACATCCTGGATACGGCAGGACAGGAGGAATATAGTGCCATGAGGGACCAATATATGAGAACTGGGGAAGGCTTTCTTTGTGTGTTCGCCATTAACAACAGCAAATCATTTGCAGATATAAATCTTTACAGGTAGGTTCTCCTTATTAGTGACAAAGAGATAAGATTGAGTGGCACATCGTCTACTAGCTGTCATAGTTTTAAAAGAGAGATGATTAGTAAGGCAATGATTAGTAACTGCTGAGATATTTTACTTAATATTGTATATCAGTGCCAAGTGTAACTTTGAAAATGTACCAGACATTAGTTGTGATACATTAAGAACATCTGATTACTGAATGGATTAGAACAGCAGTCCCCAACCTTTCCCCCTTGGTGACCGGGCCCAGCACAGGTGGGGGGCATGTAAGTACCGTGTTTTCCCGAAAGTAAGGCCTACCCCCAAAATAAGCCCTAGTTTTGGGGCGAGGCACACACTTAAAAATCAAGCTAGGGCAGGGGTGTGGATCTGCCCCCTGTCCCCCACACCCACTTATCTTGCAGTCAGGCCTCTCCTCGCTGGCCCACTTCAGCTTCTTCTGCAGGCAGGCCTGCATTTCTCAGTCACAGGCCTTTCCAGAAGGCCACTGCAGCCAAGAACCGAGCTATGGATTGAATCCATAGCTCGGTTCTGCAAGATCTCTACAGCCGAGGGCCGAGCTATGGATTGAATCCATAGCTTAGTACTCAGCTGCATAGGCCTTCCGGAAAGGCCTGACTGTGGAATGCAGCTGCAGAATGAAGCTGTTCCTTCGGCCCCAGAAGTGGACCGGCTGTCAGGGCTGTCGGTGCCAGAGGTGAGTAAGACATCCCCCGAAACTAAGACCTGGTGCCTCTTTTGGAGGCAAAAAAAAAAAAGATCCGGTCTTATTTTCGGGGAAACTCTGTTGGTGTGAGGGGCATGCGCCCTCCACTCGTGCAAACAGAGCTTTGCTTGCAAGTGAAGGACGCTTGGGCACACACACGAAACTGCTCATGTGAGCAGCAGGCGCTTGTGCGTGAAACTTCAATTGCGTGAGAGGAAGGTGCTTTAGCGGAGAGTGCTCACACGCAAACCTCCATTTGTGCAAGGAGAGAGTGCTTGTGTGGAAAACTCCATTCCATTGTGCAAGTGGAGCTTCATGCACGCTTGAGTGGAGCATCGCGTGCACGCTTGCCCATCACTCGCGTGGCCCACTTTTGAACAGGCTGTGGCCCAGGGGTCGGGCACCCCTGGATTAAAGTAAGCATAAAATAGACTTGAAGGACATCTTTTCAACCTAATTTTTTTACTAGCATAATAGCAAATAAATTTGATTTCATTTCTATCCCCTGTTATTTAGAAAATAATACAATATAATATTGGATTTAAATCCCCCAATAGAGGGCATTATTTTGGCAGAATAATTCCCTCAGGATTGCAAACCTTTTCACTAGTCAGAGGCAGGTAGCAGTTTTATCTTGGTTGGTCTGTTCATCAATGACAGCATGAACAGTGTCAGAAAGAAGCACAGAAGGTATGTGTTCTGTCTTCCATTAACATACCCCATCATATCTTTTCCCAGAAAGATTCATTTTCTTTTTTCCCATCATATCTTTCCCCAGAGAGCAAATTAAAAGAGTGAAAGATTCAGAAGATGTACCAATGGTATTAGTGGGAAACAAATGTGATTTACCAACACGAACAGTAGACACCAAGCAGGCTCACGAAGTAGCAAAGAGCTATGGCATTCCATTCATTGAAACATCTGCCAAAACAAGACAGGTAATGGATTCTTGTATTGCTGCTCATATCTTAAGAAAATAGCTAGAGTTATTGTTAGGTATATGGACAAATCTGATTGATAAGGAAGACATTAACACCTATGGGTAGGAGCAGCCATCTTGTGGACTATTTCAGTTTTTAATTTCTAAGAACCACACTGCCTAGTCCTATTTGCATATCTATATTAATTACTAATCTAGCAGCTGAATTTTGAAGAAGTACAGTCCACTTTCCTACATTTTAATTGTGAATAGCTGTGTAAGAAACAGTTTATGTTTGGGATACAAAATCCTAATTCTTTAAGAATAGAGGAGGATTCTTAACAGTAATGAAGAACATTATTGGTAAATTCAGTACAGAGATTTTCAGGAGGAATGTGAGAAAATAAAGTATAGGAAATAATTCACTTAAGAGCATATGTTTCTCAACTTTCTATTCAGGGTGTTGAAGATGCTTTTTATACATTGGTTAGAGAAATCCGTCAGTATCGAATGAAAAGGCTCAACAGTAATGAAGATGGAAATCAAGGCTGCATGGGGGTGTCGTGTCTTGTGATGTGATGAGGTAGGATTAGACTAGCTGATAGCTTATGTTTGACAAATATGATACAGCAGTGTTTTTCAACCTTGGCAACCTTAAGATCGGTGGGCTTCAACTCCCAGAATTCCACAGCCAGCCCATTCTGAGAGTTGAAATCCGCAGTTCTTAAGTCACCAAGGTTGAGGAACACTGAGGTACAATATAACATTTTTGAACTATTAGGTATTTTGAAGGCAATTTGTAAATTTATATCCTTTTCTGCCATCAAGCTGATAAGACCCCCTCTACAAAACTTATTTAAGTTAAAAGATTTAGCAAAAAGTAACTTGGTACTCTCATAATTACTGGTAGAGAATGTTGCTTATTATGTTGCAGATCAATTGAAGTTGATGCAATTGGTACCCAGTCTCTGCATTATATTTTATAAAAATGAAAGTTCTTGCAGTTTTTATAGAACACTCCGGATGAAAAGACATATGTGCTTGTAAGCCTACTGGCCTCTGGAATTTCATTTGCCTGTACTTTATATTGTCATGTACTAGTTCAGTGTCTGGAAATCAGAATTAAATGTGTAGCTCTTCTTGGATTTTGGAGAGACATTCTGAGATAAATCTGTGCTAATAATATTTTATGTCTAATAGAACAGAACTAACAAAACATTTATCTATTTCAGCTGCCTTTGAATCATCCATCCAAGTTCAAAGCTGAATCTTAATTCCACTGTGTTGCATTTCATGACGATGCCTTGGCCAGTATCATGCAAGTTGCCAACTGATCAATACTAAAACATTCTGTCAGCACCAGAAGATACTGTTTCTGAACATCTACCTCTTTGCTCAGTTGAGCATGCAAAGAAAATCTCATACGTTATGTGTGGGATTTTTCACTTTTCTTTCTTGGGTAGGTTCAAACAGAGAAACTGATTATATGGGAACTACAGAGGCCAAATGCCTTGAAAAAAATAACATCTCATTTTCTGGAAAGAAGGCTGGAATGAATTATGATCTTGCTATTCCAAAAAATCCATTACACAGCATTGTATGGTAACATTATGCTTGATTTCCTGTACACCGTTTTAAACCAGGATAATATTTGTCACATTTCCTATGCTATGTAAAAAATTCCTATTGTGCATTAGATTAATCACACCTAGTCTAACATATTTAATTCTGGCCCCTTTTTTATAACAAAAGTAAAATTATTTGATTATCAAGTGCCTCTTTACAAAGGCAAGCTAGACCTTAAGCCTTATCATGCAGGTTGCAGCTCTGGTTCCTAGCTGACCCGTCTTGATTGTTTGAAGCTGACTCAGTACATTGCTCTGTGTAACCCAGTATTAACTATGCTTGGCTTTATTGTATTATTCCTCTATTTGGGCTTCCCAATGAACTGTATGTGGGAGCTTTTGCAGAAAAAATTTACTATCACTGGGCTTTGTTGTCAGAGTTCCTTGCATCATTGACTGAAAGGCACTTTGAGATTAAGATTCTCCTGAGGAAATAGCAGTTAACTGCTATTTTCTATTTTTAAATACAATACATTCCATTTACTTTGTGCTTGAAGGTACTGGTATTTTCATCAGGACCACTTATTAGCTGTGGATATTGTCAACAGCTGTTATTCCATTATCAGTCATAAAACATGGCTGTATGAAGTTTGTGTAGAAAAAAAAATCTGTTCTATCCCAGCTATTTCTGCACTTCTATTTTTAGTTAAACTTATTTACTCATTTGATATCTTTGTCAAGCACAGTATCTTTAGGCTTACTAGTGAAGAAATGTATTTAGGGAATCAACTTCATTAGCATTATTCATTTTGAAAGCTCTCTCCAGGCTACTGCTGTGCAGTGAAACCAGAGGTGAAGAGCTAGCATAAAATGGAACTAGAGGAGTAGAGGGTGAATTTAATTTTCCTGCTGCTTAAAAGCAGGATTAAACTGATACTGTACATTTATCCTTACAAATTTGGAGCTGGATTCCTCAGTAGCTTCCGTACCTCTATCATAAAAGAGAAGGAGCTGTGAGTTTTCCTTTCTCTAATGCTGAGGAGTAGTTGATTGGATTACTATTTATATGATATATCCAAAATCTGGTCCTGAATCCCGTGTATCATCTCACTTGCAAGTGAGTGAGTGAACTGCCTTCACTGAAAGTAGATGTTAAAATGTGAGGTATATAAAAGCTGTCTGTTTGACTGTTTTACGTATCTGATTGATGTGGTTTATTGAAGGACAGAAATGACTTCAATAGAAATTGAGTTTGTGGTCGTTAAGTGGTTTACTAGTTTACAATATTGCCATTTTACTGCATACATTCCAAGTTGGGTAGAAAACCACTATCCAACCTAATCCAAACTACCGTATCTAATCACCACATAAGAAAGTTGGCATATTATTTCCTAAATATGTAACTTAATGGATCATTTCAGACATACTTGATCTGAAGCTAATTTCATACAGCATTACATAGGACCATACAATAATGTGTTCATATGCTTTACTGCTGCCTAATGTGTTAATATTAAACCAAGCAAAATAGAGCTCATTTTCTCGAGAAATTGATGTCACCTGAGCAATAAATTGATACTGTTTAAAGTCCCTTGCATGTTGCTCAATGCTACATACCATTCCATTTTTTCTTAGTGTGATTCCTTTGTTCTGTGGTAGATATGTGGCATATACACTGGTAGATAGTGACATTTGCTTCATTTCTAAAAGTCAGCTAGCTGTGTAAATTACAGAAGCACTACTACAGAACATGGGACCACCTAAAAAGAAGTACAGCGAATTGTTGGGCTTAGAAGAATTATTGAGAAATCACACTTCTTGGTTAGCATTTGCAGTTTAGAAATTGTAATTCCGAGAGCCTGAATATTAAATGTCATTTTTGGCTCTGTGTTCTGCATGTTTGCCAATGAATCTGAGAAGCACATAGTAATACATTAGTAATTTTCCATCTGGGGTTTGCTTGTATTAAATATTGTTTCATTACAAGTGAGACATAGGTTAATTAAAAAGCAGTTTATATATTGAAGTAGGTGAAATCAGCTAATTTGGGTGATGGAAGCAATTTTCAAACAACTGTTTGCTTCAGCATATAAAACATTTCTCTAAAAGTTGGTAACATTTGTAATTCTTGCCTTCTTTCAATTCTTGAAATTTCCTGCATTTACATTTGCAGAGGATGTTGTAGTGGTTAACCTGGGCCACAACAATATATTATTCCTGATGGACTGCTGTGTTTTCCAGATCACTGTTCATCTCTTTCTGTAGCGCTAAGAAAAAAAGGATTCAATGGGGGACATTTGAAATAATGCACAGCAGTGACAAATATGAAGCTAAATCTCATGTACAGAAAGTCCTTGACTTACAGCCTCAACTGAGCCCAAAATTTCTATTGCTAAGCAAGGCAGTTAAGAAAGTCATAAGTGCTGTTGTAACTTTGAACAGACACTTACAAATAGTCACTAAACGAACGCTTGTAAGTTGAGGACTACCTATATTAGGAAATTTAGGAAAGCAAGCACACAGATTTATATAGAATTGTTGCTCACAAATTATCATGAACAGATGTATAACTAAAATAAGTGCATAGTCTTGAATAAGAGTGTGGTACATGCGGATAGTGTCTGTTAGTTGCAGATTTTAAAAAATAGTGTTTTAAAATAACTTTTACAACCATGTTCCTCAGCTGATCAGGGATATCTTTGCTTTTATTTTAGAAAAGAATCTCACTGATTCATTTAATTCTGCAGAAGTCCTTTCCAAAACAAATTGGATTTTTAGTTTACTCTGCTAATAAATTAAAATTTAGATATGGGAAAAAAATCTATTGCAAGCTGGGCTTCCAGTTACCAGTCCTTGTTTTTTCTCTAACCGATTATAATAATGCTGTTAAAATTACACTAATAATTTGCTGTAGATGCGATACATATTTACTGGACTGCTGAATAGAAAACAAGATTACAGTGTTTAATCTGCTTAATATTTTTAAACATTTTCCATTACTAAAAGGATATTCCTGATACAGCAGATAATAGTATGCAAACTTAGATAAAGTGTTGATCCTTTTTAAAGGAAATGGTTTTCTTTATAGGATGAATGGCTTCTGTAAGTTGCCTGCTGTGTTATGTGTGGATTGTCTTTTTTAATGTTTCAGAATGTTTAATATACTGTTTCAGAAATATTTGTGCCCATATGAAAATGTAATTGATCCACTGAAACTTATGGTCAGCTTCTTGTGTTACCTGCTATCTGTGGTTTTAAAAAAATACCTACATTGATAAGTTCTCTAAACTTTGGTAAGATACATTTGGACTGTTTGAAAGCAAAAAGTGCCTTTGTTGCCTAACACATTTGAATTCCTAGAAATGTATGTACAATTAGAAATTCCCAATCATAGCAAGTGACAGCAATTTATCCAATTTTGGCTGATTTGGGAAAAGCTAAGCAGGGTTGAATGGAGTTAGTATCACAAGACTATTTATAGACAAAAAAAAATCTAACAAATCATTTCCCTTTCACCAACCTTCATACTATTCCATATAGTCATCAGGAATCAAACTTCACTAGAGAGACTTTAAAAATTCCATCTTTTTTATGTGTGCATATAATATTGTGTATTGCTAGTCCTGACTCATCTATATAATATATGATAGAGGCTAGACATGGTTAGGCTCTATTTTCCATGGACAAAACAAATGAATTGCAAGATGCTGTGAATATCAGTGAAGGCCATTATTGATAAAACAACGAAGTCAAGATTCTGATCATACATAATTCAGAGGCAGCTAAAAATAATTCTTAACTTCTGGAGCTGATATCACTTCATGTTTATTTGGATGACAAAGTGACTTGTTTTAAGAATGCTATAATATTTGTTGTAACATCTGATTTTACTTTTAGTTATGCTTATTTCTAGATCTCACATAGCTGAATACCACAGTTAATATGGGACAATAGATGCTGTGTGGATAAAAAAAAATGGGCCATGCTTCCAATGTATGGTATTTCAAGAACTTACTCTCTGGATTTCCAGACCATTAAATGTTAAAGGTTGACATATTGTCAAAGCACTAAATCTAATTCCATTGTAATGTAATCATTTTTAAATGTGTTTAAGCAAACACTGTTTTTTTTCCTAAAATACATAAATATTTCTTTAGCGTGTTTGTTCAGTAATTGGTTCAGAAACAACATCCCATACTTTGTATTTTAAAATGTGGGTAATTCATAATTACTATAATTACCTGTAACTATTACAAGGTGAATCCTTTTCAAATGAGTGTGAACCATCTTCAAAACACCGGGAGATACATGAATAATTACAGTACATTTGGGCTAGTCAGATCCCTAGATTGTTCAGTAAAGCTGTCCCAAGTCTTGTAGTCAGTCACAGATCCTTAGCTAAATGTTTGGAATCTTAAAAATATATTGTTGGTATTGTAGAATGGCAGAAATATACATTTCTATCAAAAAAGAAAAAGAAAACTTATGTTCCACCAACTCTATTTTTTTCTTTTTTAAATGTCACTTGGTAGGATAAGTGAATTTCAGATTATTGCTCCTTAAAAAATAATGGAAGTTCCAGAATAACTCATTGACCACATGAAAAAGTTATATACAGCAGAGGTCCCCAACCTTTTGGGCACCAGGGACTGGTTCCGTGGAGAGAGGTTTTTCCGCGGACTGGAGGGTGCATGGTTTTGTGTGCTGTCTGCATCTTGCGGATGGGGCTTTGTGCAGACCGGTTGCTGCCATGCCACGGCCCGGTACTGGTCTACGGACCGGGGGTTGGGGACCCCTGATATACAGGACAAGAAACATCAGTGTGCTATTTAATACGCCTTCCGTTTCCTATTTTCTCCACAAACACCACCCTGTGAAGTGATTTGGTCTGAGAGAATGACTGGCCCAAGATTATCCAGCCAGCTTTCATGCTGAAAAAAGGGGAAGATATAAAACGACAGCCAGCAGCAAGACAGATGGTCTCAGTTACAATGGGGATGAGTGCACCGTTGGAAAACCTGAAAGACGAGATTAGGGATTGATAGTCATGGAGAAAATGTATGTGGTCACTAAGAGTTGAAAATGACTTGATGGCACATAATCACCTACAATTTGAAGCGGGTGTCAAACTGTCAGCCCGCAGGCCAGATGCACCATAGCAAAACCATGACCACCCCATTGCCGGCAATGGCAAAAAAGTCACGATACATCATGACACATCACGTGACGTTACGAGTTTGACACCCCTGGTTTAAAAGATACAGCCTGAAACTAATCCTAGCCAAGCTGTTATATATAAACAATAAGTAAGCTCCACCCTCCTGTGCACTGATGATATTATCTAGCCTGGTAATGAAATGTTTGCAGGAAAATATGCTCAGAAATCAGAACCCAACAGTTCAACCCGTAGCTATGTATATTCTCTACTATTGATATTTCATTATGATTTTAGAAATATCTTACTAGTTATATCTATGTTACACACAATAAATTCTGGCCTTGAAAAAGGGAGCAATTTAAACTTTCAGTTTTAATATAATTAAAAGTATATTTTATTGCAATTTTAAAATAGAAATATAGAAAGAATAATATAATACCATAATAAAGGAGCAATTGGAAAAGACACATGACATAATCAACATCTTCAAAGGAATACAATTCACAAAGAAGAAAACAACAATATGCTACCCTTTCTGGATATGTGACGGAGATGAGCAGTTAAGAAATATGAAATACAAATAAATAAAAATATCCTCATCAGCAGAGGAAATGACAGCAAATTAGAAATACAAGTCTATGAAAAAACTATTCACACTAACCAAGTGTTCCACTATTAAAGTAACAACCCAAGCTCTCACAAGAGGAGCTGTGTGAGAACATTATTCAGATGAGCAGAAACAATTGCAGCATCCAAGAACAGAAAAAGAAAACGGCCTATACATCTTCCAACAAAATGGATACTTATACAATTTAATAAAAAAATGCTGACCACTCAATGCTTCTATTTTCCTTTTCCTTTTATTTCTTTTAGTTTGCATTAGCTTGTACTGTTTTAATAAAATTACTATAAAAAAGAAAAACAGTAAGGGAGACTGGCTGAGGAAATTCAGAAGATAAAAAAATATCCAATTATATTTTTGCAAATCTGGTAAATTAAAATCTAGTTTTTTCAAGAAATAGTCTCAACTTGGCTAATGAAATCCTTCGTTTTACAGAACAGAACAGAACAATAACTATGTTCTAATATAGAAGCTAGAACTGAGAAGACAATGTGTTTCCCAGAAGGTGACAATGGCAAATTATTTCTATAAAAACTTAGCTAGCAGTTGAGCTTATCCCAAGGGCATTTTTATCTTTTAACATATATAAAGATGTGACTTGATACTGACAGGTTCATTTCACATGCTAGCCATAATGTGGTTTCAATAAGGAGAACATTTATAGCTCAGAGTTGAAATGAGGGGTACTTGGTGCTCTCTGAGCTTGGTTGATTTCTTGCAGATGTTTCATTACCCAAACTAGTCACTAGCACTGATAATGTTGTTACCTAGTTTGAGTAATGAAAGGTCTGCAAGAAAACAATCAAGCTCAGAGAGCACCAAGGAACCCTCAAAATGTGGTCTGATTGGTTTTTATTTAGCATGTTGTATGAACCCCCCCTCCATTGTTTTATAGTTCAGTTTGTTGTTTGAACTCATCTAAATTTGTCTAAGCACACCCTTCCTAATTTGTAAAGGATATTTGGCTGAATGTCATCTTTGGTTCAGTATTTCATTCAGTAATTTTTATTCTGAATTATGTTTTGTGTCATCTACAGAAGAGTTCTCCATACATTTTAAAATCCATTCTTCTCATTATAGACTTAACAAGGAAGTCCTTTGCTATTTGATATCTGTGTCCTAATATGAAGCATTTCCTTCGAGGTGCCTGAGCAGAGAATAACTTCAGTTATCTTATTATTTTTAACAGGGAAATTATGTAAGTTGCACTGGCCCAAAAAGCTCCAATTCTACACTGCCAGCACTTTAAGCTTATCTTTTTCTCAAACAGTCATACAAAGATTAAAACCAACAGTTGCAAACAATAACTTGTGATGCCCAAGGTAGATGCAACCCAATACACCCAATTATAAAAACCACATCAACAACAGAGCTCATCTAATCTCTTGGCCCAAACCTGGGGAAACAGTGATAGGCCTGATTCACACATCACACTACATTAGATTGAAAAACTTTCTGGCTATGCTTTTCTGTTTTTATCAGTCAGCTAAGAGGTGGTAGAAAGAGCGAGAGGGATGTTACACTGTCTCAATGGAGGTGGCAGGATTGAAATACTCTTCTCTATTTTTTGGGATGGTGCCTGCAGATAGTTGTACATACACAGAGAGAGAGAGAGAGAGAGATGGAGAGAGAGAGAGTGAGTGAGTGAGAGAGAGAGAGAGAGAGAGAGAGAGAGAGAGAGAGAGAGAGAGAGAGAGAGAGAGAGACTGATTTTGAAAAATGCTAAATATGGCAACTTCGCTACCTGATCTTGGCAATGTGAACTTGGCATACTATGGTACTGCAAAAAATGCTATGAGCTAAGTGGAACAACATGTTGTCTACCCATGCATTAAGCCATGGTTTAAGTTATTTATTCATTTGTAAAATTAAGGTAACTCTGGGCAGCTTATAATTGTAAAAGATAAAAGCTAAATTAAACACATAAGTTAGTACAAAAAGTCAAACATTGCAACACAATAAAAAGATGGGGAGGGTGGGAGCAGGATGGGGAGAGGTGGGATCTGTTGTTAATCGATTAACCACTTTCACTATGATTGATCAATTAACAAAAGTTTACTGTGGTTTATAAATCACAGTAACTGAGTTCACAGAACATATGTGTATTAGCATTGTGTGTGTTCTAGGGCTAGGCCACAGAGATGTAGATTGGGGAATAGTTGCTGTCTAGGGATCAAATAAGTTTTTAGTAGTTATTTGTTTGTTCAATTTATAAACTGCCTCAATCATCCAACTGATTCTAAGCAATGAATGTTAAAACAGTGACAAAAAACAGCAAAGATACTAAGCAATATACTGTGTATTACTACGTTGGAGGAAACACAGAATACAACCAAGAATAAAATATTTGTGTCAGCACAGCATCCTAAATCATTCAAAGCCTGTTGGAAGAGCCACCTGCTTTCATAAAATGATAATAAGGCTGGGGCTGTACA